CAAGTTGCGTGGGTTTAGTTTTAGTTAATTATAACGTAGTTAATATGTGTAAATTCACTGTGAGCGCATTCTCTACAAAGACACGTTTATTTAACTTCGGACGAAATCAGGGATTCCTTTTCTCCGATCATTTTTCGTTCATTATTACAATTGTTACTGTCATTGCACTAGAATAGATTTTCCAACTTTCATTGTCAGTGTGTCGAGTCGGGGAACTGCAGCTTCACGTTTCCGGAGACGAATTCGGTTCTTGTAGTCTAGCGTAGTCCTACGTAATACTGCTCCAGCCTCGGTTCCGAAGGAACCCCACTGCGCCGATAGGGGTACGTTAGACTATTTACATCTAAATGCTCGAACCCCGATTTGGCAATCGCGGTTTCATTTCGCGTTATATCTCTTACATGACACGATATTGAAGCGTGTCAATAGTTTCGTTTCCCTAATTTCGTTCAAAATTTAATAAACGTGTCTTTGATACAAAATGCGCTGATAGGGCTGCGAATTATTGTACAATTATTGTGTAACTTTCATATTAGACGAGTGTGTGGTTAGTATGAAAGGCTGCGATTGATTGCGACGTACTCTACGACTCGCATCCGTATGGAATGTATGGAATGTATGTAATGTATGCAATGTATATAATGTATGGAATGTATGGAATGTATGGAATGTGAAATGTATGTGATGTATAATTGTACGCAATGTATGTATAACGTATGATCGAATATGATGGATGCAATGTATGATTATATGTAATGTATGTAACGTACGATCGTATGTGATGGATGCAATGTATGACTATATGTAATGTATGATTGTATGATTGTATGTATTGAACGATTAACGCGAGCGTTGTTCAGGAGACAGATTTCTATAGTTCAATCTCACATGCGCTTTAGAGTTAAGATGTAGACTTAAGTTTGAGATTGAACTATTGAACGTCTGTCTCCTTTGTTCGCAACCCCGGCCAAGTAGAATAAAATCTCTGCATTCTTTAAGAATGCCGAGTTATTTGCATGTAATGGAGGGTGGTTGGGATTAGGGCCCGGGCGGGTCTTGTGCGTAGTCACCTCCCCGTGGTGAGACCTGGTAATTGATATCTTTTTACAAACATTAAAGTTTTACAACCTTCAATGTTTGTAAAACGATATCAAGCTAAGAACTACGCAACCTACAGTTCAGTTTAGGTCGTGAAAATTTCTTTCCTTTCTCTATTTCACGGTCTAAACTGAACTGTAGGGACAATTAGTTGATAAGTAAACTATTGGGCCCCCACCGATGGACGACGAGGGATCACGCATGGATATCGTGGGATGCGTGCGTCTTAGACTTAAGTTGCGGGCGTTTAGTTTTAAGTTTCGTGCGTTTAGTTTTAGTTAATTATAAGATAGTTAATATCTGGGACGACGAGGGATCTCACAGGGACATCGTGGGATGCGTGCGTCTTAGCTTTAAGTTGCGTGCGTTTAGCTTTGGTTAATCATAAGATAGTTAATATGTGTAAATTCACTGTGAGCGCATTCTGTACAAAGACACGTTTATTAAACTTGAGACACCTCCTCTCTTCTCTTTTTTCGTTCGTCGTTACTATTGTTACTGTCATTGCACTAGAGTAGAGATACATTTGTTACTGTCATTGCACTAGAGTAGAATTACTTTTGTTACTGTCATTGCACTAGAGTACAGTTTCTTTTGTTACTATCATTGCACTAGAGTAGAGTTACTTTTGTTACTGTCATTGCACTAGAGTAAAGTTTCCAANTTGTTACTATTGTTACTGTTATTGCACTAGAATAAAGATGGTTTTGTTACTATTGTTACTGTTATTGCACTAGAATAAAGATGGCTTTGTTATTATTGTTACTGTTATTGCACTAGAATAAAGATGGTTTTGTTATTATTGTTACTGTTATTGCACTAGAATAAAGATGGTTTTGTTACTGTCATTGCACAAGAGTAGAGTTACATTTCTTACTGTCGTTGCGCTAGATTAGAGTTTGCAACTTTCATTGTCCAGTGTGACAAGTCGGGGAACTGCAGCCCCGTCCGAAAGGACGAGGTAGGTTCTTGTAGTCTAGCGTCCTTTGTAATCCGGCTCCAGTGGTTCTTCGGAACCCCACTGTGTCGTTGGGGGTAGCGCGACACTACTTGCCTCTAAGTGCTCGGAACCCGCTTTGGCACACTGACAAACCGCGATTTCATTTCGCGTTATGTCTCTTACAAGACACGATATTGAAGCGTGTCAATAGTTTCGTTTCCCTAATTTCATTCAAAGTTTAATAAACGTGTCTTTGATACAAAATGCGCTGTTAGGGCTGCGAATGATTGTACAATTGTTGTGTAACTTTCATGTTAGACGAGTGAGTGGTTAGTATGAAAGGCTGCGAGTGATTGTGACATAATGTATGATTTGCATTCGTATGTAATGTATGATTGTATGTAATGTATGATTGCATGTAATGTATGTAATTTACGATTGTATGAAGTGGATGTAATGTATGATTGTATGGTATGTATGCAGCGTATGATTGTACGCAATGTATGTAATGAATGATCGTATATAATGTATGTAATGTACGATTGTATGTCATGTATGTAATGTATGATTGTGTGATTGTATAATTGTATGAGTGTATGTATTGTATGATTGTGAATGCGATCGTTGTTCGGGAGACAGAGTTCCATTGTTTAATCTCATACATGCGCTTTAGAGTTAAGATGTACACTTAAGTTTGAGATTGAACTATTGAATGTCTGTCTCCTTTGTTCGTAACCCCCGGCCAAGTAGAATAAAATCTCGGCATTCCTTAAGAATGCCGAGTTATTTGCTTGTAATGGAGGGTGGTTGGGATTAGGGCCCGGGGTGGGTCTCTTGCGTAGTCACCTCCTCGTGGTGAGACCTGGTAATTGATATCGTTTTACAAACATTAAAGTTTGTAAAATGTTATCAAGCTAAATTGTAAAACGATAAATGATAAACTTTAATGTTTGTGAAACGATATCAAGCTAAGAACTACGCAACCTACAGTTTAGTTTAAATCGTGAAAATTTCTTTCCATTCTTTATTTCACGATCTAAACTGAACTGTAGGTATAATTAGTTCATAAGTAAATTATTGGGCCCCCAGCGGGCCACCGATGGACGACGAGAGATGTCGCAGGGACATCGTGGGAAACGTGCGTCTTAGTTTCAAGTTGCCTGCGATTAGTTTTAGTTAGGTATAAGATAGTTAGTATTTGTAAATTCACTGTGAATGCATTCTGTACAAAGACACGTTTAAGACGAAATTATGGACACCTCCTCTATTCTCATTTTTCGTTCGTTGTTACGATAGTTACTGTCATTGCACTAGAGTAGACTTACTTTGGTTGCTGTCATTGCACAAGAGTAGACTTACATTTGTTACTGTCATTGTACTAGAGTAGACTTACTTTTGTTACTGTCATTGTACTAGAGTAGAGTTTGCAAGTTTCGTTGTCAGTGTGTCAAATTCGGGAACTGCAGCCCCTTTCGAAAGGACGAGGTAGGTTCTTGTCTAATCTAGCGTCTTTTGTAATACGACTCCAGTGGTTCTTCTGAACCCCACTGTGTCGTTGGGGGTAGCGCGACACTACTTGCCTCTAAGTGCTCGAATCCCGATTTGGCACACTGACAAATCGCGATTTTATTTCGCGTTATTTCTCTTATAAGGCACGATATTGAAGAGTGCCAATAGTTTCGTTTCCCTAATTTCGTTCAAAGTTTAATAAACGTGTCTTTGATACAGAATGCGCTGTTAGGGCTTCGAATTATTGTATAATTATTGTGTAACTTTCGTATTAGACGAGTGTGTGGTTATTATGAAAGGTTGTGAGTGATTGCGACATATTGTATGACTTGCATTCGTATGTAATGTATGATTGTATGTAATGTATGGAATGTATGATTGTATGGAATGTATGAAATGTATGATTGTATGGAATGTATGATTGTGTCAAATGTATGTAATGTATGGAATGTATGATTGTATGATTGTATGTATTGTATGACTGTTAACGCGATCGTTGTTCGGGAGACAGAGTTCCATAGTTCAATCTCACACATGCGCTTTAGAATTAAGATTTAGACTTAAGTTTTGAGATTGAACTATGGAACGTTTGTCTCTTTTGTTCGTAACCCCGGGCCAAGTAGAATAAAATCTCTGCATTCCTTAAGAATGCCGAGTTATTTTTATATAATGGAGGGTAGTTGGGATTAGGGCCCGGGCGGGTCTCGTGCGTAGCCACCTCCTCGTGGTGAGACGGTAATTGATATCGTTTCACAATCATTAAAGTTTGTAAAACGTTATCAAGCTAAATTGTAAAACGATAAACGATAAACTTTAATGTTTGTGAAACGATATCAAGCTAAGGACTACGCAACCTACAGTTCAGTTTAAATCGTGAAAATTTCTGTCCATTCTTTATTTCACGATCTAAACTGAACTGCTGGTACAATTAATTGATAAGTATTAGGTAATTATAAACTGTTAGAGTCTCAGGTGGGGCACCCTATACGTTATAATGTATTTATATATATGCACGATGTGTAAATTTTGTTAATTATTATAATATGGCATGCACATTATTATTTCGTTTATCATAAGGAAAATGCTACTGCATTTCTATTTGCTAGTAAAATAAATTGATTTGAGTCGTAATTAACGACAGACGCTAAAATGTTGCAAGGAGTGTGTTCTCGAAATTTTTCTGCATCGTCCCCTTCGCCTCAGCTGGAACTAAACGGGCACTTTGTCAACGGCAATTGGAGTAAGGCAACGATTAAGAGACAAGTTTCACCTTCACGCTTTTTAGAGAACACACTGAATCTAGTTTCTCGCGCGTTAAGGACGCTGAATCCTTAAAGATCCTGCTTAGTGCACCATAGATAGATGTGTCTGCAACATCCTTCGCATCTTTCGTGTCCACGAATTACCATATTCCAATATGAACAAACAAAATTCTAGGATAAGAGTCGTCTTCTTTATCTCGTTAATGTTTACGAGATTAAGCTCGATTCACACCAAAGATCTGGCAAAGCCAAAAAACGTGACTCCAAACGACGATGTGAAACCAGTTGAAGAGTTCCTCGAAGAGTCTTCCACTGAGGATCAATTTTCGTTAGAAGCTGCAACGACCACGGAGCCTACGACCACTGTAGAGACCTATCACAAGCTGACGCTGTCCGTCAACGCTAAGAAAAATATCTCCAGGGAATTCAGGCCAAGTGTACATCTAGGTGTAGTATCTGAATTTCGTGCAAATGTAAAAGAAAAGAAGTTCTTGAGTATTTGCATGTGATTTGTGCGAAGTGTTAGTGAATTGGTGTTGATAGCAAGTGTGATTTCGATATGAGGAACGTATGTGTAGACTGAGATCTGGTTGCACGTGAGAAAAATATGAGAAGTCTTTGATCTTCGATCACTGTTTCTGTTTGCTTTACAATTTTGTGCAATTTGAATGTTGGATTTCAAAAATTTTATTTTCTATACCTGTTGCTTCATTATTGGATTTCGATATATCGTTAAACTATGGATTTTTATGCATTTATGACTGGGCTAATTAAATGAGATAAGATGCAGAGTTTCGTTTTTAAAAATGCCAATGACCTTTGGATCTTTTTAAAAAAATAAATACAACACTTTAGATGATCTGATTTGACTGATCCATTCTGTATAAAGTATTCAAAAGTCACTCATTTCAAAATTTAATGGCTAATGTAATTATCCACCTAATTAACTTCAGTTGCAACTATAATCCCATGTTTAGATGATTTAATTGATCTGTATAAAATATCCAAAGCGCAACAGGTACCCATTTGAACATTTAATAGATAAAATAATTATCTATCCGATTAACTTCAATTTTATTATTAAAAATGCGAATTCACACAAACATTCATACCCGTTGAAATTAATAAGCCATTTAATGCCACGTTTTTCCAGGTGAAATTAAAGAATCCAGAATCAGTGCCAGCCCCTTCAACGCTCTTCGTCATTTCAACCTCGACAACGGAGTAAATCCTGGCTCATATCACGAACACTTAAAAGACTTCCAAATAGTTTACCAACCCGCAGTCAAGACTGTTCAAACTCTTCAAACTCCTCGGCCAGCTAATCAAGAAAACATTCACCAGAATTTATACGAAACTGCTGTTGGGTCGATCGAGGAAACTAAAAATGATGGAACACAGCAGAATGGTTACGTTAAATTTCAAGACGATGCATTGGACGCTTCTAAAGTACCGTACAGCTCTTCGAAGGACCAAACGTTCCATCAACATGTTTCCAATTCGGTTTTTGATAACTCGGGGACGCAGCACGACCTAGTGGATCAACAAATCTATCAAAATTTAGAGAAACCCGCTTTCGAGCAAGAAACGTCCATTATTTGGGGGAAACCGTCTAAATTTCATGGTGAACCTCAGAGAGGTCCGGAATTGAACGTTAATCCTTTGAAGACGCCACATTTTCCAATAGTTTACGATCATCAGGACCAACACTCGAATTTGCAGGATTTCGATTTATCGAAGAAGCCGAATGATGGCGTGGTTTTTGTTCAGGAATCGTCGTTCACGAGGACTAGAAAATATCCTTATCCTTATCAATCGCACGGTGGATACAATCACGCCGAGTTTGTCGACGACAAACGTTCGTCTCCTCTCAAGAGAAGGTCAGCATTTCATTGAGTTTCTATCGTTTTAAAAATTTTTCCTCCTTGATATAGGATTTTAAATTATTAAAGTTAAACTTCCTTTGCTTTCTAATTCTAACTTCTTTGCTCTACGATTTTGATTTCACTGGTAGTGATTGTAACAAGTTATATTTCTTCATTAATTTTCTCCCGTTTTCCCTTAAAATTCTTATAAATAAATCGGGACGCCATTGAATAAATATTTGAAATATCGGTCACTCTGATCCAACTAGATTTCCCCGCAGGGTATCTCCGTGGAAGAAGATCTTTCATTTGATTGGCGCCATTATTCCACTTGGTCTACTCATAGCTGCTCTAACTCCAAACGTCGTAAAGGTCGACAACACTACGTGAGTGGTGCACTTTCGTTTTTTTCTTTTCCGGTCCAGAAAAACGCGACTCGACTCGAATTCTAATCACGAACCGAATCCCTTTAGCCAGCCTAACATCGTCTTGTCCAAGTGGAGGGTCGCTGACCTGCCGGTGGAACATAAACAGGCGCGATTCAACGATCCCTTGAATGACTGCGAGGAAAGGTCCATTTGTGGCATGATCTTGGCTGGCGGTGACGCTGGATCCAGCGTGTTGCAGAACATCTTGTGGAACCTGGCGACAAGGTAATTGTCAGATTGTTTGAAAAATTAGTAATAAGATTTTAGGAAAGAATTGAATGGCTTTGTGTACTTTCATTACTTGTATAATGTACTATGATGTTATAATATAATATAATATAATATAATATAATATAATATAATATAATATAATATAATATGTGTGTAACTTTGACTGAATGGAAAATTAGGGAAACAAATTATATTGAAGTGAATGTAGAATGATAGTCTTGTTCAAATAGTAGTGTTCCAAGAGCAAATTTAACTACATAATACTTATATATAAAATTGTGTAATAATATTATAATATATTACAACATATAATTTAAACAGTAGATTTAAAATTTAAAACAAAATTTATTCTATGTTTAAATGCAACTCTTTAGAATGAAAGGATCATAAATTTCAAAATGTTTGAGAACTCTAATCTTGCATACTTGTACAATTTGTCCGATGTAATAAAATATATAATTTTGATTGAGAGCCTCATGAATGGAGAACTAGGAAAACTAATTATGTTAAAACAAATTCAGCATGATAGTCAATAGCAGCCTTTGAAGAACAAAAATTTTTCTGTATAACGTTTCTATAAGAATGTGACGATACTGTTTTTTTTACCTTTGTACCGTTCTTTGTCACACTATACATTTACATTCTGATGTTTTGCATTTACGGTATTACAGTGTTGATATTTTTCGAAAATGGCTAATTATGAACTTGAACTTTTCCTCAGTTCACTGATACAATAATTATGAGACTCGTGTAGAATTCTTGAAAACTGAGGAACAGTGACAGGTGACAGCAAGCATAACACTTACAATTAGTGGGTTGAAAATCGCTCCATTAGCTCTCGAAAACGTTGTTCGTTTAACTCTGAGGCATTCATCAGTGGATTTTTAACGGCTTGTCAGCCGGATGACAGCGTCTACGTAATTACAGAAGTAGAACATCGAAAGCAATACTTAAAACGCGACTTATTCGTGCGGTGGCAATCCTTGTCTCTCTCGATTTCGAATGAAGAAAAAAAGAGAGAGAGAGAGAGAGAACAATTTTATTTCTAAAGAGTACTGTTGTAAACTTTTCCTCGATTTCTAAAATACGAAGAGAGAACGTTCCTTTTCCTCTTAAAGAACGTTCCTATTCCACTTAAAGAAATTTCAAGCCTACGAAATCTCAACGAAACCGTTGTTTTCTAATGGATCTCTTGCTGTTTTATTGCCAGAACGTCGACAACTATGGCGAAAGAAAGCGGTCTTCACGAAGTTTTCGAGGCGGTGAAGAAAAAGGATTGTACCAGCGTTTTTTGCTGACTGACTATTGGAGTATATTAAAGCGATCATAACCATATGAATATCACTTTTCAAAAAGTAAATAACATAAACTAGATAGCTAATGTCATCGAATCAAAAACGAGTTTTCACTGCGCTTTTATCGTAACATAGTATTATAATTAAATTAAATACAGTAGAACACTCAATATGTATCCACAATATGTATTTCGGATAATAAAAGGCTCTGCTGCTTTTAATTTTAAAAATAATAACAATGGTTCATTATACTCACGGATGTGAGCAATTTTCACAACGAAAAATTGGAATCAACTAATGTTCAACTTTCTCCAAACGATCATAATAAAAATAAGACGCAGCAATGCTACTCGTAGAAACTCAGCAGAAAGTAGCTACCGAGTAATTATTGCTACTATTCCAGCACCTTATACGTTCGTTAATATTTCTGCAATTAGAAAGTACAATAACCATAACCTCGAGGTTATCAGAATTTCAATTTCGACTTTTATAATTGTAATTGTAACAAGATAGGAAATAACTAGAAAAAGATATTAATTTTGCAATCAATGTCTTTTCATCTATCTAGTTATGCTATAATTTTCTCTTTCATACAACTACTAGCCAAAACTGTATTGTATTTGTATTTCATACTTAGTTTAATATTTGGTTACATATTAATTTTTATATATTTCATGGTTATACTATACAATGGCAGACACGTAGAACAATCGAAACAAATATATTGATATATTTTAGACAAAAAACATTTTTATATATTTAAAGAAAGGAAACAAAATTATCTGGATGGGTTACAAATATGAGAAAAAGTTAGGATAGCAGAATTAAAATATAACCAAAGTATAATGAATTAATTTAATATTAAATTAATTTAATATTTGAATTATGTGTATCACTAGCTATAACACGTTTCTTTGCTCGAGCGTCGATGAAAGTGACTAAAGCTTGACCGAACAAGGGCACCGCGAACGGATGAAAGGATTATTTGGAAATTGTTCGTGCCAGTGTGCTTCTGCTCGGCACAAGTGAAAGTAGTCACAGTGTATAAGTGGGTCGACGATATTCTATGCCAGTTCGAGTCCGGAATTTATGTCCTCGCGACAAGATACGGGTTATCGGCAAATGCAACGAGCTTTCACACGCATCTCCAGCCCCAATATTCCAACGACTTTATGAAAAATGACCTCTTTTTTTTTTTTTTATTTTCAAATCACTTTCATCGTTTTTTTTCCAGTACTCATAATTCAAAGAAAGATTATTTTTTATCAACTTCAATGGAGAAACAAATTGTCACGAATTACAAATATTACATTTTCGTTAATTAAAGTAATCGACTGTTGGATCACAAATGTGTTGGACGCGTTAAAGTTGAAAAATAACCGGATGAGATTCGAATTTCGGGTCGATCGATTCGCCTCTCCATTTTCACTTCAGGAATGCAAGAAAGACCAGTGTCGATCACCGTACTGTTTCCTGAACGATTGATTAATGATACCCTACCCTACTCTAACATTGTTTCGTGCAATCGGATGCAATCGTTTTTTCCGTTTTTTCTTCAACGCTCTTCCACTTAATTATCCGCTCAATATTCGATTTTTGCCAATCAAACAAATGAATTATCGTGTCTCAAGTGAAAATTGTGAAAATCTCCAGTTTTAACGTTTCGAGCTATTAATTCATCGATCTGTCGGACTTCAAATTTTTATTTTTTTAAAAATTGTACGATTACTCGGATATTTTTTAAATAAATGTAGATAATATAAAGGTACTTTAATTAAATTTATGTTGAATTTCAGTGAGATAAAATATTGATATAATGACAGAGTTTATTGTCGCATAAAAGTATCCAAGGGACTTGCGACATTAGATGAAACGATCTAAATATTTATTTAGATTTCAAACGTTTTCAAGAACGGTAAAAAAATTCTTTTCACGACTAGATCCACCAATATTCAATAATCGATAAAACGAAAAAGGAGAATTCGATTTGATGGAGAATTTGAAGAAATTCGCTGTGAAATAATGATAAAATGTTATTCCTTCTTTCCGATTTATTTTTGCATGCGAAATTGCCCATCAGTCACTCGTCCACGCTGTGGAAACTTCATAAAACGGTCGATCATTCTCATATCGGATCTGCTCACGATTCAATCTCCTTCGATCGCGTGTATTTCCATCGTGTTCAACCGCTTCTACAAAACATGACATAAGATACTGACACGCGAGTGAAACCGATCTTCCATTTCCCACGATCGTTATCCTGTCCAATTAATGGCGTACACGCGCCACATACGCGCCAAAGCGAAGAGCAATAACAAAACAAAGAGAAGAAATGCAGCGCGTGCGTCGATTCAGAAGTAAAACGGTCCTGTCCGAGGTAGAACAACCGTGGAAAGAAAGTCCAGCCAATTACGCACGCTTATCCTCTAATTATCCTAACCTCTTTCCTAATAAACACACTTTCGCGGGACGTCGTCCCTTTTATGGCGATGGTAAGATCGCGTTTGAATGGCAACGAAAGTGAGCCACTTTTTGTCGACGGTTCTGACCACGGTTCTTTCACGATGAGCCGACGATCTTGTAAAAGAATAATTACAGAGTTTCCGGTCATCACCAACGAGGATGCGGAAATTAGTTACGGCGATTTCTCGTCGTGAGAAACGATATTTAACGGTTAACTGTTAGAATTTTGGCCGAAGTTCGACAGTTTTTAATGACTTTCGTTAGAAATTTTAACAGATGCGAAATTCACGTGACCTTTTCGTAAAATATACGAATGAAAGCTTGCGCTAAACTCTATCTTCGAAGTTTCTATCTGTATGTATATTTTATATATTCTTCACACATCTTTGATATAAATTGGATAATCATAAGAATTTTTAGCGTTGTTTGTTAATTATAACATTTGTCTTTGAACTTGACCTGGTTCTTTTCAGTTTTAGTTACTTGTAACATGATATCATAATAAAAAATATATTAGCATAAAATTCATATAATATCGTGTAACGAACCACGTTTTTCCGGAGCATTTTTTAATTATTTATGATACGATGTCACAATCGAAAAATTAACAAAAATACATGTATTGCAACGAAATATTTATACGCACATCTTTGCTAGCTTATAAATTATAAATATATAAATATAAAAATATATTTGCATATTTAAATATAAAAATATAAATATAAATTATAAAAACAAAACACAAGCGTAAAGACGAAACTTGCATAACTCTGCATAACCACGTCCACGAAAAAAAAAATTTCCAGAAAATTCTCAAAATGCTCGATGCTCGATCCAGCGTCCGACACTTTCACTTTCCTCCAGCTTTCTCCTCTAACGAAGCATCTTTCTTAATAACCATCGTCGACCCTTCTTCGGTTAAACGTCTCGAAGTATCGCCTCTTCAATCGTGACGAGTATTTTTTCAACGGTTGCAACGACGACGTCTCGAACGTGGGTCGTTCAGCTATGACAACGCGTAGGCTCGTCTTCGAGGTATGTCAAGGAAAACGAGTGTGTGCAACGGACACCGAACGATATTGGAAAATCAAAGAGGCCTTCGTGGATCGTGTGGATCGAACACAATGGGACTCGTACGCATCTATAATTCTTGATGGCTCGCGAGGACGTCGAATTCTATCGAAGGACGTGCATTGGTAGTCATCCGACGATAATTTACTCAATTATTCGTTTCGTTGAGTCTACGCGATCTTTTTCGCAGCAGAAGATGGTATGAAACATGTACTAAAAAAATCAAGATACGAGGGAATATTTACGACACAATTATACAATAATATAAAATTTAAAGCCCACAAGCTTGTACTTGTTAATTAATGCAAGTAGTTTATTAATCGATGAAATCATTCAATGAAAAAATTCATCGCTTATTCGCGGAAAGTGAATACATTTCAACTTTGAAAATAATCTCTCCGTTATTAAAAGAGATGTCAATCTCTTCAGTTAACAATAAATTTTATCTTCTCACAGTCGATAGCTTTTAAAGTCCGTCGGTACTAACATTCAGTGTTACTGGTCTTTACATTTCTTTACATCATTTTTATATTGAACAGTAAATCACCGCTATGCTACTATATCAGCACATGCTCTGACGTGACAACACTATAGGTCTCTCGAGATATATGAACAGTCAACAGGTAGCTCGTACTATCAACAGGTCTCTCTTTCATATTTCATCGCTATAGTCTATGGTCTGTTGGTCATGTAAAATGTAAATGATCACAGTGTTGTGCAGACAGGGAACTGAAAGCTCGAATATGCCGCGCGAACGTTTTACTTCCCGCGTTCCTTTGTCGGCCTTGAACAGCGAAAGTCGACAAATTTTCTACGTGTTGTGACTCCGGCATTCCCATAGATCGTTTTCAGAAATGCCGCGCAGATTTATCTGCGGTCACAGAGTGTCGTCGAGACTCGGTTAAGTCGAGGAAGGTCGCCGAGCACAGGAGAACGATTGGCTACTTTCTTTTTCTCACAACGTCCGTTTCAATAGTCTGACGACAGCTCGTTTCCTTTAGGAAATTTGTCGGGGAAACGGCACACTTTTTCGTGTGTGCTCTTTTTTTTTTTTTTTTTGAGAAACCGTGCGTTGTGTGCTTTAGTCGTTAGCATGGCGCGACTATGGTTAGACTAGGAATTTTCGTACACTCTTGTCACGGTACAAGCGAAGAAGTAAAATTTAATTGGAGATTCCTTCAATCTACTAAGTTGTAATGTATTTTAAATGCTTTTTTTTCAATAAGTATTTAAATTTTCGGAGATGCCTTAAACAGCACTTCCACTTGAATATATAATTTTCTAAATAATTAATTTTACTGTCAGAAGAATGAATTATTTATTCATTCTCATAATGCGACAATTTTATTTCAGCAGTTGTTCAACTTCATAATTGACAATATTTATGAAGCTAGCAAATAAGTTAGAAAAACTGATTGAATTATGCTAATGCCCGTATATTTTAACTAATTCTCGAACTAGTGATTTCTTAGACAGATTTATTTCTAATTTATAAATCGTCGATTATTAAGGAATAATTAAGTAATTGAATTTTACGATAATTAAGCGTCAGAATGAATTTGAAAGTAAGGATGATAATTAAGTAGATTTTAATCATGCATCTTGAATATTATATCCGTTCTGATGGAATTTAATTACTATCGATGGTATAATAATCGTTTATCCGCGTGCCAATCTACCGACATGCAAATGAGACTAATGATCCTCAACCAAGGCATCAACGTAATCAGGTATGTATAGTCTACACTACAATATTCATATAGCGAGAATTAGATACCAACGTTAGAGACTATATTCTATCTGACTGCTTACAAATCGTTTACGAAATTTTTTTTCTTATCTTTGCTTGTGATCTATCTTTATGTAAAATAACATAGCAACAGAAGAATACATATATTTTATGGTGTGAAAGTTAAGGATGAAGGGTGATTTTTGTCGCGAGAGGGAATTAATCCTTTGACCAAAAGTTCCAATACTTTTTTGTGGAATGTTAGTTTCATAAAACTTCAATCTTGTAACAGTTTTTAAAACTAACATCCCATTTTTATGATAAAATTTACTAAATGTAAAAATGAATTTAGTTTTTTAGTTCTTAAGATAATCTTCCCACTTATCTTTTGATTTCGCTCATCATTTCGAAATTGTTTCCTGGTCAGTTTTTGTCTCCTTCTTCGTTATTTTATTTGAAATAATTTAATGCTCCAATTTGTTGAAATATCCTAGAATTATAGATTCTAAAGAAAGGACGTAATGACGTTAGTTCCCTTTCCAGAATTCCAGAATACAAATCGACGGGGAAAAAATTGCAAATGATACGTTGGGTTAACATTGCTCCTTAACTTGTTAATGATATAGTTTTCTAACCAAAGACTTTTCTGATTTAGTAATTAATGATTAATCGACTGCGGATTTTTACGCAATTATAGAATCTTTAAAGTGAAAAATTGCAAACAATGCACATATTATCTTTAATATAATAATAATTATTTTTTAGTTACTTTAATACAGTAATAATAAAATACTTAATTTACTTAAGCTTTATATTATATTAATACAATTCTTACAGCACTTAGTATGCAAAACAATTTCCCTAGGCTCCGCAAAAGTCCGCAGTCTAACAATTAATTTTAATCTCTGCAAACGATTTCATAAAAAAATTACGATGTCATAAAAAAAGAAAAGAAAAGAACAAAAATCTGCAAATATATTGATATCATACTGACGAGTCAATTCCATCCTTCCTTGTCAACAAGTTAATCGGTCGATAATGCGCCTAACCAAACTCCCGTCATTCAGAAAGCGTATTTTCACAAAGGTCACGTGTCCGACAATGGACACACAGAGCAACAGGAGGTTACACGGTCATGCAACGACACGTTCCTCTTCGACGTGGTTGTCGTCGAACCGATGGACTTTCACTGGCAGGTCCCTGAACCCGGCGCGCCGCCGCTTCAACGACGTCTCTTCCGGTTCGGCCGCCCCTGGTTCCCCTGGTCGTTCGTGAACTTGAAAACCAGACCAGCCACTGTCTCAAAGTTTCGCGAGACTCGTCTCACCTCTTTCCCTCCCACTCTTCGCAACTCTCGTCCGCGAAACTTTGCACAGCTGTTCGTGCATTTTACGGAACGTTCGCGCGGAGAAAGTGGCGGAAGGAACGAGCGAAGAATCGAGCGTAGTCGAGAGTTTTCCTATCGTCATTGCAATCCATGGCTGTGACCTTAATCTTTAATGGTGGACATCGCGTTACACGTCTGAAATGAGAATTAATCAGAAGTTTGATAAAAGGTTCATCGAATGGCTGTTATTTAACTATGTTAACGATGATATGAGGTACATGAAGTATCTGTTTTATATGATGCGCTTGTTATATATTTCTATTTTACACGAATCCTACTTCCACGCGTGGATATTAATGCAAATTTATATTTTTATAAATAGAACAGATATTTTTATATTATTATAGATCATTTAGATATTTAGATATTTTTATATTATTGTAGATTATTTAGATATTTAGATATAAATAGATTTTTATAAATAGAACAAAGTCTCTACAGAGATTCTACGTTTGATTTTCTACGTACTATAATTTGTTAAAAATTTCATCCTCGAGATATCATAGCCTAATTATTAACTTTGGTAATGTGGAATAAAATTCAATATTGACCTGGATTAGATGGATGAAGATTTGAGGAATCTTCTGCTTTCGTTTGTGAATGAAAAGTGATTGACAGTTAAGGTGGCAAAGTTCTAATTTAAATTCCTACGTTAGAAGGCAATCGATTTCTCCTGGTTTCGATGATTTGAAAAAACGTACGACTTCAGGCTGGAGTTACTCAAAGAAAAAAAAAAAACTTTCGATCCAGACGATTTCTCTCTGAGAGAGAGAAGCTTAGCGATTCTTTCCTTCTCTTAAACCTACTTGATTTAAAAAAAAAAAAATCTCCAATTTCGTATTCAGGGATCCAAGTCTCCAATTTCGTAGTCCACGTATCATTGATCATTAATTGTCGTTCCATCGTTAATCAATCTCTATTTAACTTGCTTTGCGATCAGGCGATTACAAAGCTAGCTTCACATGCTGACAGAAACTCTCGAAGCATCAGAAAAGCCAGGAGACGAAGTTTCTTCGAATCGAGAGCCACCACTCATCGGTCTTCATTGACCAGTGGCCGGCGATTCGGGAAATGTACCGATCAATCGGGAGAGAGACGCCGAACGTCGCGACGGAAGAAGGCGAAGGCGAACGCGGGAAGTAGGTCGGAGAGAAGTGCCGGTTCTTCGTCGGAGACACGAGGAGCCGCTGACTGAGCGCCTTCGTCAGTCTCGCGAAGATATTCCGGGAGTCAACAGGTGCGTAGAAGCAGGTCTTTCTTCTGCTTCTTCCAAAAAAAAAAAAAAAAGAAGAGAAAGAAAACGGAAGAAAAATAATAGAGAATTTAATTATCTTTCTTATCTCCGCGCTCGGCATTTTCAACGCGAATCGATCGTTTCGTCGGTAATCGTTCTTTGCGCGCCGATCATGCGGATCTGACGACGTATCCACGTTACAACTCTTCCTTCTCCCTTCTTTTTGCTTGAAATACCTTCTTCTTGCTCGTTCGTCACCCTCTGTTCGCTTTCTCTGGATCACGGTATTCTCACTGGATCTTTGAGCATCGGATCGACTGGATCACCGAATCGAAGACACGCAGAAATGGACAAGTTCAAGGTATTTACATCGTTCTTGATTTTTAAGGTTTGGATCTCCTTCCTTCTCACCGAGAGTTACAAATTTTTCTGTGAATTTCGTTCGAGAGTTTCGTCGTTCTTTGTATACTTTGTGTATTTCTAAACTTTGGTATTTCATCAGTTTCGTGAAGTTTTGTAAAGATCTTCTCGGCGTTCTTTGTGATCTCGTATATTTTTTGAAAAATTTGCGAACAAAGTACGTTGTATTATAAAGTGTTATAAAGTTTTTAGGATTTGCTGTATATTTGATTTAAGAAAAAAATTGGTCGCCATTGGTTACCACAACAGCTCTTTAATATTTGTTAAATACACTATTCCTTCTCCACGATGCAATCGTGTAAGATACAATTAATACATTTATTTCCTGAATTGTCTGTTCATTTTGTAAGATTCTGAAATAACCTTACAATTTGTTCATCGAGTTTTCTTTTTTTTTTACTTTCGATATCCATTTCTTTTCTTTTCTTCTATTTACAATCTTGAGACAAGCTTGCAGTATATCCGCAACATTTTTATCTCAAGTATGAAAGAGATTTGTTTGTCCTCCACATCTCAACGAGGTTCTGGAATACGTAATCATGAATGCACCTCTTACATTCTTCATTCACCTCCTTCAAATCAATCTCTTATCTCTTCAGAGATTTTATAGACACTTGATAAACATTTTTGAAAACTGAAGTTTTGTTATACTCTGAAAATACAAATTTTCAACGTAAATTTTTTAAAAAATTTCGTATTACAGATATTATTATATCACGAACGCATTATAAATTCATTTATTCATGTAGAAAAAAGTTCTTATTCCAAGAACAGCTTCACTGATATCTCATATATTTTCAATATCTTTCTTTCTGCTATTCTAATTTTTCCATCTGACACCTCTACTAATAAATATTCGAGAGACATTCCAATTAACCTATTGACACGCACAGTCTGAGATATCGTGGCTGATTCATGTAAATCCTTATTCAAGAATTCAATATTTCAGGATTGAGAATGTTTTTTTCTCTCAACCATTGGCGAATATTTCTGTCATTTATTAATAGCGATAAATAATGATTTCAGTACAATAATGTAATGTAACCTTCTAAAAATTGTATGCATTTTTGTCGAGAAGAATAAATGTATAATACAATTACATGTTTCAAAATGATGTAGAAAAAGTTTTCTTTTGTCCGCCAAAATTCTTTACTATTTCGTCAGAACCCTTAAGCGACATCACAAAGTGTCAGATGACTATAATAATTTGTATTATGTTACAAAGATTTACTTAATTTTATTTTGTATGGTAAAGATTAGCAATAAAATTAAACCAGACTAAAGATTCCAAAATTAAGCGAATTGGGTTAAATCTAAATTTTTATGGCTCCTAATGTTGAACTTCTCGACGTACGGTTTGAAATTTATCAGTCTTTGTAGAATTGAGGAGTTACTTATGTCGAGACAAAAGAAAAAAAAAAAATGACAAAAGAATAATCGTTAATTGGCGAGCTTTCTGGAGCGGAAATCAATGTGACACAGATCGAGGCCATCGCAGTTCGCGTGGATCATGCACTTCCTTCGTCGAAATGAACATTAATCGCGTATTCGTTCATTAGCATTAGGACGTTGCAATTTTCATGTTCCCATAAGCTCGATAATGCACAAATCTTTAATTTCACGCTTCAACGATCTATGTATGTATATTCGTCAACTACTATCGATCAAGCGATTTATTCTTTGGCCTAAGTATCGACTACAACGATCCGATTCCTTTTTACTTGCCAAGTAATCTGAATCAATTGTGGGAAATGTCTATGATTTGAAGAGCTTATAATTAGAGGAGAAATGATACGAGTGATAGATTCCTTAATTTGGGATAACTATGGATTCAGTTGTACTTTAAATAGAAGAACTCGTAGCATGAAAACGATGGATCGTGTTAGAAATTAAAATATAATGCTTTTATTAATTAAAGTACATTGTTAGGTATATACGTAAAAGTTGGAAGACTTATTTACCAATTTTCTTAAATAAATTCGTGTTCTGTAATAAATTTTGCGAATTTTGTTAAATTTTTCAGGTTTTATGATAATACATTCAACTTGTGAATTCAGTTAAATTGTAACAGAAATCTGTGATACGGAAATGACGAAAATTCAAGAAATCAAATTAAAAATTAAAATAAAACTATAATAGAAGGAATAAATAAGTTTTAAAGTTATAATAAAAGAATAAACATGCAAATATGAAAACACCTTATTGTATGAATATTCAGAAAAGACTGGCAATTTATAACGAAATTCTCTAGCTAAGTATTTATAATACTTAAAAATAAGTATTTCCTAAATATTTCTAAATAAGTATTCTACTTTCTAAATGCTGTATTTAGAAAGTAGGATAAATAAATATTTTTAACGAGTATTATTTAAACAGGTATTTTTACATCGTTTCTAGTTTTCTTCTTCTTTTATCCTAAAAAAGAATGCATTCGAAATCTTCTCGATTAAAATAACTTATACGTGCATCTTGCTTTCAAGATTTTATCGTCTGTTTAAAGGCTATTATCTCTGAAAGTCTGAAACGTAAAGAGAATGGATGTATTATAATTCTATTCAACGAAGGAAGATAAGAGTCCAAGAGTCATAAAGATCCGCGAATATAATCGTGACATTGTAAGAAAAAAAGGTGAATGGGGAATTCACAGACCCAGAAATATTCTGAGAAGAAGATTTATGAATTGAAATAATTTGTTCTTCTAACAATACATATTCCCTCTGTTAATTATAAAATTCAAATCACTCCTCTTGTATATTATTAAAAACACAATGCTTCTCGAATTGAAACGTAACGTAATATCGTTGGATATCCGTGGATTTTTATGGGTTTGTGGAAAATTGACTGATTGAAAAATGCACAGTGCATGTACACAAAAATACACAAAATATTTAAATACAATAATTCCTGCAACACGAACACTTACCAACAACAAACCTCTATTTCACTCGTGTTTGTAAAAAGTTTGAATTCCCATAAACGTCCACAGTCTGCTGATTATGTCACAGCGCTGCATTTAAAGGGAAATTCAAAGGCGCGGAACAACAGCGAAGTAACCTCGTACCATTTGCCTGAACGCCACTGAAAGACCACCATTAGAGACCACGCGGTTACCAGAAGATTCATTCCACTTTCCTTCGCGTATTTCGACACAAGAGGTGGCTGCTGGAAAAGGCGAAGAATGTTCGCGAGGTCGTGGACGCGTTAAGGTCACGGGACGTTCGATCGGCCAATGGTGATTTCTCGGTATCGAAAGTCACCAGAATGGAAAAAGTGGATCGTCTCGTCTTCGACGCGCGTGGACGCGACGCGTGCAGAGCGGGCGTGCGCGAAACGTGCCCGAGGAAAGCACGTCGTTCTATTTCACTTGCCGATGCCGAGGCTAGCCTTCTGGGTCCAGTTTATTTTATTTCCATCTGCAAATCACTCGCAAAATCATCGGAACTTTAAATTTATTATGACATCTCTTGGTTAGGATGTTCTTTTGCCTCTAATATCCAACGTTGAATCGTTGAATTTTAGAAGATAATTTGATACACTATTTCTTTCTGTACAAAGTACCTCGTTCTTCTGTTTTAATTTTGAAACAGGTGTAGCACCTGTTCCAAGATTTTTCAATATGTTGTGCGATGTTCTAAGATTTAATATATTAATATATTTAATATATTATTAAGAATATGTAAATATAATATTTAATTATTAATAATATATAAATATAATATAATGTATCAAATAATCGTACATATTATTGCACGTCGAGAATCTTTTGTTCCAAAATTGTAATATCGTCTCAGTTTTAAGTATATTTAAGTAAAATAAAATAAGCAAAACAAATAATAAATTTGTTACTTCTCTTTGTAATTTCTATCCAGTGACATCATACGAGTTCAAAAAAAAAAAAGAGCGACGAATTATCGTATACGATTTGGTCACTCGTTACGGTCCGCAATCAGTCGCCAGCGCAACTGGTTAAACGATGTAATTGCGTTTCTTCCATGAATAATCGCGATGTTTATAATAGAAAGTATCTAGTTAGTCAGTTATTGCATCGCTATTTTCTAATCCTCACCGACGAATGCCGAGCCATTAAATTTCTCTCATTGTGTGTCTGATTACCTCCTGCGACGCGATTCTCCCTTCTCGAAGACAGATCCGTCTTTCGATGGTGCTTCGAGGATAATTTATTTGCAAGGTTGTACGGTGGACGTTAGCCGAAGAGCAATTTATGCTTGAGAAACGGACAGATTTCTATTTGCATTCAGAGTTTTTGAAAGTTTCTTTCTGAAGTGGTCTACGGTGAAGAGCCATAATGACAGTGAAAAATTTATTTAATTCCGATATGTAACTAATAATTCACGCCACTTTGTGAAAGGGGATCATACGACGATCCACTTGGTCTCATTTTGAAGCGTGAAGCCTCCACTTTGACAATCATGAACTCGTTCATCGTCCACGAGCGGATAGAAAAGTGAGGATAAATTTTTTCCTCGAAAAATGCGAAAAATTCCAACGCGTTGGAACGAATCAAATTTATGTGCATGTGTAATAATACTTTCTCGTAACGATTATTTCTACATTTCAAATTTCAAAGTCTCAAATGCAAACCTCATTCTTTTTATAGAAGAACTTGAAACACCTGAAATAGTTCGAACAGGTTGGTTTTACTTGGATTGCAGAGGAAGTAAAGGAGAAAGTCCGATGACTCATAAAGTGTAACATTCCTCTTTCGTTCGATGCAATTAAACACGTCTATTGTTCGAAAGTTAATCTCACGTGTCAAGAGTTTTTCTTTCAAAAGGCTCGCTAAATTCCTCGCTTCTTAATTTTTACACATATTTCTTCTCTCTCTTTGGCTTTTAGAAAACAAAAAAATATCAACGACTGTATATCATGGATGAGAAACTTCTTGAGAATATTTTTCCAACGCAATTTTCAACGCTAATTTTCTACAGAATTCTCGAAGTCTTGGCTTTGTAGCAGAAAAATCAAAGTGCAAGGAATAGGGAAAGATTTGTAATACAATAAATGTGTTTTACGATAAAATTAGTCAAGTTTCTAAAAATATACTGTGCAAATATATAAAGTTGTAAATTGGTCGTTTTAACTCCTTTGATGATTTTAGCGTTAATGTTCTTAGTGTTAATTCACTGTCCTAATTTTGGTGCTTGAATTTCTCGTTCAGTTTTTTCACTGATAAATTATTCCGACGACACTGTACGAAAAGTGAAAGTGAACCTAAAATCATCGAACCACTGTCACCAAGTCGAAAACTCGATTTTCAGTTTTCGTCTCCAGTTTAACAAAGTACAAATAAGTATTTAGACACGTAACGCAAATTAATATTTTTGTTACATTTTTAATGTTAAGCTAAAAGACGTATTCTCGAATATTTTCCTTAAATTGTAATTGGAAGTGAAATAATTCTTTATTTCATTTCATTAATTAATCAGTATTTCGTTTCGTATCATTCAGTAATTTTAATATAATATTTTTATACGAAAATGAAGCACTATCCCTGTGAAATATTATATATAATATCAAATATTTTCCAACTTCTATATTATGTTTACATTTGTTTAAAACACGTTTAATCGTGATAATCGAGCCTCGTTAGTCTAGTTTCCACATTTAATTCATTTTCTACAATAGTACAAATTTCTGTGTGTAATTCTACAATTTATTTATTGCTATATTTCTATATTTTATTATATTTACAATAACAAAGATGTTTTTAATGAACAGGATTGCACCTTGCAAGTACGAATAAGAAAGTATTCGAACCAACTAATTAAGAAATCAATCTAACCAGTAATTTACTCTTCACTCCGAAACCTAATTGAAGCTCATTTTCATTTAATTCACGTTTCACCGAACCCACTCTATCCTCCGTAACAACGATTCATTGGGAATCAGATTTCTCATAATAAAAAAAACTCAACGATAAATTACACGGTTAAGTGGAGAATGAACTTCTCGCTTGCCACTCTTCTCGAATTGATCACACACTCGTTAATCTCAATCAAGCAACAACCTAATCGCTTTGCCATCTTTCATTTAATATAATCGCATTCACACCCACTTAAATAGCGAAATCACGAAACTCAGCCATAAAAATCCCGGCACAAAGAATCTAAATAGGCCCTGTAAGCGTAATCGAGCACGTAACATATCCCATACAAAGCTACGCGCAAGATGTAACGCGTAAAAGTAGCCCGGTATCGAGCACTGCACAATGGACTTCCGGTAGACCCGTTTCCAATCCAACCGTGCAACGAACGACTTGTTATATAAGCCATGAAACGTACATTCGTGGTTAATTCCCATAGATAGTTATAAGTGTCATATCTAAACAAATGAATAAAAAATTATAATTAAATAATTGTACAATTATAATTAAATTACAATTATTATAATATATTATAATATAATATATATAATTATTATAATATATGTAATATATATATAATATATATATAATTATTATAGTATATATAATATATATCATATATATAATATATTGGAATAAGTTATTCTATAGTAATTGTCTATTATATTATGTATATATATTATACTTATATATATTTTATTATATTATATTTTTCATTGTTATTTAATTAAACGAGAATTCATGATTTCAGGTAACGTTCACTATGCTTGCGTTGATGACGCTAGCCGTCATTAACAGCAGCGTGGCAGATCTACCGAAGCCCAGCTACGCTAGAACGATGCTCAAAGTATCGCGAAGTCTTCCGGGCGAAACGGAGGAACGAAAAGTGTTAACCAGCGAAGGGAACGTGGCCACGTTGATCATCAAACGCCGAGACAAATCTTCCCTCGAGCAACAGGCACCCAACGAACCGCCGAAAACCCATCAAAATCCTCAAAGTCCAACACTCAGCGAAAACGTCACATCGTCAAACGTATCTAAAACCAAAGAGGACGTGAGAAAACTAGAGAAAGCCCAAATAGAGCAACTGAGGGTGAAACTGTCAGACACCGAGGGGCGAAACAGCTTCTCTAAACACGAGAACGTATCCGCGAACGTATCCACCGAGAAAGCTCGACCGGCGAACGAGGGGAACATCGATTATGGTAATTGGACGCCACTGGGAACCGACGGACGAGCGGTTCGCCTCGATGAATCGACGACGGAGGAAGCCTATCAAAGCTGGAAGCCCGTTCAAAGCGATCTGAAGACAACCACCGAGGAGAGGACCAATTACGCGAGATTCGACCCAGCTTTCCCAGCGGGCGGGTTGCTTCTGCCGCGACATTTTCAAGACAGGTCGCAGAGGAAGCTGCAACTGGCCGACCAGGGCGAGGAGAAGCCTCGTTACACGTTCCTCCCCCATCAGATTCGATCCACGAGAACGAACATCGGGGCGAACGCTTTGAAGAATCGTGACGGGAAGAACGTGCCGGCGGAAGTGGTCATCAGGTCCGAGATAAACGTGAAATCGAGCTCGAAGAGGTCGCCCATGACGTTGGATACTGACGGCACCCCCGTGATCCATGGGAAGAGGGTCCCGGACGAGCCGATGGACAAAGTTCAAACGTGGCGTAACGCGAGAGTGATCAACAATAAGTTGATACGCGACAATGCTGGTGATAGTTTGGACGCTTCGTCGAGCTTTTATCCGGCGGAGAACGTCGTGGAGAGACAGACGTTTGAGAGGTTCTTTAAAAATGTGAACAGGAGGTAGGTGGTAAATTGAATTTGGACACTGATTTGAGATTAAGTAGATAGTGGAACGAAGGTTCTGAGTATACATCTTTTTACTGTTGAAAGATATCCTTATGCTGTACGATTGAACTGATAATATTGGCGGTAGTAATTATTGTTAGAAGTCTTACAATTTATAACAAACGCATTAATTATTAAAACTAAATCTAAAAAACGCCATATTTAGCATTCTTATCTCAAGAATATCAAGTTTATGATTAAGTATATTTACATGAAGTTTATAAATAGTACAATTGAACTATTTTTAAGATAGATACTGTCAGGAAAGTATTCGAACAATCACAGAAACGTTTGTACGTTCATATTATATATATTATTCATCAAGTTTGAAAGAAATTTAGAAATAATACATTTATAAAATATTTAATCTAAGTATTTCGTAATATAATTATCCTTGTCATTCAATGTATTTTATAATATTAATAATATATATAATAAATTATTTATTATATAATATTATATAATATATAATTTATTATATACGTTATTAATATTACATAATATTAATATTTAAAATGACTATTAATTCTTTTAGTAAATATACGTTTATAGTGATTTTCACATAAGTTTCGAATTTTAGCAATATATTATTTGTATATTTTAAAATATTCTGTGAAATATATACATACATGAACGTACATATATGTTCGCGTGCTATCGTGGACATATTTAAAAGAAGCACGAATATAATGTAATAACATAGTATATAGTTACATAAATATATAACGTGTTACAACGTCACTTCTTCAATTCCTCCAACAGATACGGCAAAGACTACGAAGAGGAAGGGAAAAACGTGTACTTCGAGTGGGACCCGAAAAACTACAAGAACGAAGCACTAAACGCAGAGGTGTACGAAACAAGAGCCGACAACTATCGAAGCACCTCGCACAAACGAATGCTGCACCCTGACGGCGTCTCGGTCTATCCAGTCTCTCAACTGTATACCCCGGAGAGTCAGAAAATAGCGCCGGTCGCCCTGAAACCAGGGGCCAGAGCGCCTGTCCTTCAATACGCTCATCCCGAGTTAGGTGTTCAGCCGGCGAAGATCGTGAAAAACGAGAAACGTAGGCCGGACAACTTCCCGGAGAATCAGTACTCATTCACGGAGCAGAGACAGAAGAAGAAGTACGTGCTGAACGACAAGAACATCGTCGACAGTTACACCACCAAGAACTACTACCCGAATCAACATTTCTACGGGCTGAAGAGGCCGAGCGACACGCCGTTCTGGGTGAAGATCTCCGAGAACTTGAAGAGCCAATTCTCCAACGGCGTGGAGAGAGTGTCGCAGTTCACTCGGCCGGTGATCGACCCTCTGGTAGAGGCGACGCATAAAATCTCGCAGAATCTGGGCCTCTCGAAAGGCAAGGAGGCGGAGGACAAGATCGGCACGGTCACTTCCGGCGGCAGTATCCTGATCCCAGCTTTGGGGCTGGTGGCGTCGGGCGCTGCTCTCGGGATTGGCGCCGTCGCTGTCGGTAGATACCTCGATGTGGACGTTCTGAAACGATCTAACGACGCTCTGGGCACCGAGGTGGAGTATCAGAGAGCTCTGGACGCTGGCCAATCGTACTCGAGGGAAGCCGACCGAGAGAGCGGTGACGAAAGCTTGGATCGGATGGGCAAATACGGTGAAACGGTGTACTTCCTCGAGAACGTGCCGCGAAACGAAGAAACGAGAGACAATCGCAATAACGACGATAACAGTGACAGTCGGAATGGTGTTCTGTTGATCGTCGAGGGGGATGACGGATCGACGATGAAGAAGGAAATCAAGCCGAGCATCGAACAGAACGAGCGGGAGAGCAGCGTCTCGAGGAGGAGGCGAAGTCTGAATTATTTGGACATTTTCCAAGCTGAGGGGAATCTGAAGGATTTGATCAGGGACAAGCGTCTTCAACGAAAGGGGGCCGACTCGATCAGCGAGATCGTTGAGATCGATCTTCCTGCTCGCGAGGGGAGCATCGACGTGACGGAGTTTCTCGTTCCGAGGAGGAACGCGAAGGATCGGCAAAAGAACAACAAAGATTCGGCCGTTCTGATAATTGAAGCTGGCCCTTTGGGATTCCGTCAGAAGAATTTGGAAATGGTCGTAGGGAATTCGGCGAATGTTGAAAAGAATTCTGTCGATGGAAGGAACGAGAGAAGGAGAAGGAGCATCGAGGGTGATCAGGAACTGGAGGACGCCCTTCAGAATCTCGAGAATGCGGAAGTTGCCGAGGTGGCTCACATCGATGGGGATTGGACCAATACACCCTGTGCCAAAAGGATATTCTGCGACGCGATGATACAGAGAGGCGCCGACGCGGTTATTTTGATGGAGAAAAAGATGGCTGCTCTTTTGGGCTTGTGAGTATCGCGCTTCGTCCGAAATTGGATGATTGTTTTTTAAAAATTATCGCGGATTAGACTGTTTTGGGGTTTTGATTTGGATTTACTGATTTTGGAGAATTATTGTATTACGTAGCTAATCGAACTGTTCTGGTGGTTTTGAAAAATAATTATTGGAATAAGTTATTCTATAGTAATTTATTATATAGAATGGAACAGAGCATTCTAATAATAATTTATTACATGAATTATCATTATTAGAATTATTATGGCAGATGTAGTTTTGAAACTGAATTATTATAGGACATAGCTTTGAAATTAAACTATCATGGTAGTTTTCCAAGAATCATTTTCCTTTCAGTAAAAAGGTAAACGCAGAGTTACAAAACACACGGGAAGTTGTTCGTTCGTGTGATATAATGGCGATTCTCGTCAATTAGCATATTGTTTTGTAGCTGGCTATGTTTGGCGTGCGGCCTTTCAGTTTCGTAGGTCCGAGAAATGTCGATAGGCTTCTTTTCTTTCATTTCATGACTTCTTTTAGAAGGAACGAGTCTTTTTACGGACGTGATATATTCTCATTGCGGATTCTTTAGGCAGAGATAAATAGATAGCTACGAAACTAAAAAGCTCACAGAGTTTTATCTATAAATTTATCGAAATGTCCATTCAAGAAACATTCTCTTTTGGGAAAGATATACGATTAAAAAATTTTAATAATTCATCTAACGATAATATTATTTGGATTTTTTTAAAGAAATTCTTCCTCTTCTTTCCCTTTCTGGATATTCTCTTCAAAAACAAACCGACCATTTAATTTTTTTTTTTGGAAAAAAAAATCTTTCTGAGGATTTAAAAAATTCATGTCAAAAATTTTTTTATTTACGATGTAAAAAATTTATCTAGAAAAGCAGGATAATAATCATTCTTATAAAGTATACGTGCCTCAAAAGAAAATCGGTATTACTCGATTATTTAATTGATAATATACTTAATTTGTTCTATCGCCAAATTCTCAAAAATTAATAATTTAATGTTCTAACTTTCTTTCTTTCTTTCTACATCTATTTATCTATCTCTACCTATCTTCGTGTCTACCTCAACTCCTACCTTGTCTCTTCTACTATGGACAAATTGAGATATTAGCTTCTTAAAAAGTCGTGAATATTCGAATCAAATATTCTGCGTGTAATTTAATATTCAAACTCTCTCTTCTTTTCTCTATTCATACAATTACGTCTATCTTTGTTTTCATCTCTATCTCTATCTCTATTTCTGTCTTCTTCCAGTTTCGACAAATTAAAATATTAACTCCTTAAAAAGTCATAAATATTCCAATCACATGAAACTTCCTATCTATAACTTAAAAAATTTAAATTCTCTCTCTTTTCTCTATTTATGTATCCATTTTTATATCTATGTCTATTTCTATTTCTGTCTCCATCTATCCATCTATCTGTCTCTGACAAATTGTGACATTTTATCTGAAATATTTCAATATTTCAATCACGTAACATTCCTATCTACAGCTTAATTTCTTTTCTCTATTCATGTATCTACCACTATATCTCTATTTCCGACTGATCTATCTATCCATCTTTCATCCAGCATTGACAAATTACAACACGACATTATCTCCTTAAAAGCACCATAAACATTGGAATTAAACGCACTACTCAGTGCAATAAATTATTCACGAACGTCGATTGCAGTGAAAATCGATCGCATGCTCGCGGCTGCCGGTGAAATTATGCTGAGAGCGAACATCAGGCGATCTCTAGGTTCTAGAAATCGCTTACACCAGATCGATATGACCAGATGCGACGCGTTCAGATCTTCAGATCAATTTGTCATCGTTCGATTTTTCTATCGTTCGCGCATCAACCGGCCTCGTCACGATCGTACACGCGCGTATGCGCAGAGTGAAATTGTGCTAAGAGGTAAAAGTCGAATCAGTCAGTAGGACGTCGCCGGCGAAAGCTGGGAAGAAAGTTATCTGTTGCTCGCTACGATTCCGTTCAGCCGGCGAGGTTCTTTGATTTCCTCGGCTCGTACCGGTATAATCGCTTTGTTTAAACTGGTTTCTAATGGAAGGGAAATTGGGAAGACCGAAAAGGAAATGCACGTGTAGTCGAATCATGCGAGATTCATTCATTTTCGTTTTTCCTTTTTTTTTTTTTTTTTTTTTTTTTTTTTTTTTTTTTGGATTAGAATTTCACTGTCGCGCGAAATTTACATGTTTAGAAACTATAGTTTTCTTACAATAAATATGCAACGAAAGCGCATTTTTCGTTTAGTTATTCTAGTTATTTAGGTTTTCGAAATTTTTCTATCGATGGTATTTCAATCGTTTTGAAATATTTGTTGAAATAGAACGCCGGTCGCTGATCATGGGCAATCAATACGGATTAATTGACAGTATTGTTTAAACTAATTCCTAATGGAAGGAAATCTTCTCACGAAGGTTCGTTATTCCTTTCGAATTAATATAAGTTGTTAGTCTTGATGATTTTTTGAGATGGAGTCCAAATCATAGTTACGTTCGCTCATTACACGGTTCAGTTTGTCGATATAATTCAAATTTAATCACGAAATTGAGAACAACCCTTCAATCAAATACTTGCGCAGTATGCGGGAAGGTGTTCAATAATACGCGTTTAATAATTTTCTTCTGAATATTTAAAACACACGGTACGTACTTTCATCGCTAATCATACCTGTTTAATCAGCCTTTCTAACGTGTCGTTTCGTTTCGACGGGGTCGACTTTCCTCGAACTTCATCGCCTCGATTACTTGTTGTCGTCCTTTTCGTTCAATCCAAACAGTTTATTAACGATATTCCAATTACACGTCGTTCCGCTAGCTGTCAATTACTATCCATCCACGTGACTGTCGATGATCTGACAAGTTTGTAGTACCCTCAAGCTATTTCTCTCACCGTTAACTACTAACCTCTTGCGCTAGAATGACGTGCCACGCACGTCAAGAATTTTTTTGTCTCAAAATTGCAATATTTCCTCAGTTTTAAGCATATTTAAATATAACCCAGGCAAAACAAACAATAAATTTGTTACTTCTCAATAATTTCTATCCAGTGATATCATACCGGCGAGTTGAAAAAGAAAGCGACGAATTATTGTATACGGTCACTCGTTATGGTCCGCAATCGGTTGTCAACGCAAGAGGTTAACCACTTGCGTTGGAATGACGTGTCACGCACGTCGAGAATTTTTTTGTCTCAAAATTGCAATATTTCCTCAGTTTTAAGCATATTTAAATATAACCCAGGCAAAACAAACAATAAATTTGTTACTTCTCAATAATTTCTATCCAGTGATAT